CGCTGTGGCTTTCGGAAACGGAAGGAGACCGTGGTACACCAGCGAGCATTCATGGGAGAGAAGCCCTACATCTGCATCGAGTGCGGGCAGAGCTTCAACCGCAGCTCCGACCTGATCCGCCACCAGCGGATTCACACCGGGGAGAAGCCATACATGTGTGCTGACTGCGGCAAGAGCTTCAGCCGACGCTCCCACCTCATCCAGCACCAGCGCGTCCACACGGGTGAGCGGCCGTACCAATGCAAGGACTGCGGGAAGAGCTTCAGCCAGAGCACCCACCTGGTGCAGCACCAGCGCAACCACACTGGCGAGAGGCCTTATGTCTGTGCCAAGTGTGGGAGGAACTTCTACCAGAACTCAGGCCTGCTCCGCCACGCCAACTTTCACACGGGCGAGAAACCCTACAAGTGCCCCCAGTGCGGGAAGCGCTTCAGCGACAGCTCCAACCTCATTGCCCACCAGCGGCTCCACACAGGCGAGAAGCCCTACAAGTGTGCTGACTGCAACAAGTGCTTCAGTGAGAGCTCTAAGCTGGTCATCCACCGGCGTGTCCACACAGGTGAGAAGCCATACTTGTGCCCTGACTGTGGAAAGAGTTTCAGCCAGCGCTCGCACCTTGTCCAGCATCGTCGCACCCACACTGGGGAGAAGCCCTACAAGTGTGCTGAGTGTGGGACCTGCTTCAGTGACAACTCTACCCTCATCCGTCACCGTCGTACCCACACTGGGGAGAAACCTTTCAAGTGCTCCCACTGTGGGAAGAGCTTCAGTCGCAACTCCTACTTAGTCTCACACCAGCGGGTGCATGTGTGGTAGGCAGCATCACTAGATGTGGTCTGGGGGTGATCTAGGATGCAGCTCCTCGTCCAGGCCTGACCAAAACATGTCTAAGGGACAAGGGGATGGGAAAGGGTATGACTACACCAGGGCACCTGGATTATAGGCAGCTGGCCAGAGTAATGCCTTTGGCCCATGTTGTCCTTTTCAGTCACCTCCTCTTCCCAGCGCACCTCAGGCATGGACAGAAAGTGAGCAGTGGTTGCAGTGGGTAGTTCTGCATCCCAAGGCCCTGTCATCCTCTTTCCCCGGTACTAGAATCGGATGCCATCTGCCACGCGGCCAAGGTGCAGATGTTTTCTCCCACCTCCCCATGAGAGGTGTCTGCCTGAGAGCCTGAGGAGAGAATGCACAACATCAGGTCACATGATAAGAAGCTGCTTGGTCATGCAACATATGCATGTGTGGTCGTGTCAAGGGAAATAAGATGGGAGATGGGGTCCTTAAGGAGCATTGTTCCACTCGCAGCTGAAATGTTGTGACCTATATAATACTGCACAAGTCTATGGAAGCTCACCATGTTTGTGGTCTAAGCCAGCTCTGTGTCTCATACAGCAGTTGGGAAGGTCAAAGCCAAGTAAGTCCTGCTGAGAAGCTGCAGACTCTGTGTTATGCATGTACAGCGTGTGGGCCAGCTTGAAGCACAGGCAAACACCACTTGAGTCTGCTTGTAAAAGGAACATATAGGTATACCCTGAACCAGAGAAGGAAGGCATGCCTGCAAAGGTTTTCTGCAAATGCTTCTTAGATGGTAGCAACAAGGGAGCTGCAGGATAGGGACATGGCCTGTTCTGGAATCTCAGAGCTGGTGGGTAGCTGGTGTAGAAAACTATCATACCTACCTGGCAGCTTAAAAAAAAAATAATCAGAATTATACTTGCTGCTGCTAAGACTGTGGTACGCAACTTGACAGGTGTATGGAGGTCGCCGTGAGTTTGTACTGGTAGCCTCCTTGTTCTGCAGAATTCAGATTCACAGATACGATTCAAGTGGGATGGTGTAAGCTGTGTTGCAAAATGGGACAGAACAACTGTACTAGGACTGACCTGATTCCATACCAGTATTTCTTAAGTCCCATTTTGACCAGTGTGTGTGTAAATAACATCTATATGTATGTATTCACATATGTATGAACTAGCTTTTATACTAAGTGTATCTTCACACTCATATGTGAGCAATCATGCGTGCACACACCATGGCAGTGGTCAAAATGGCCAGCTGTGTGACACTACACCGTATCAGTACTTCTCAAAATGCTAAACATACTGTATATTACTAGCATTTCTCAATAAGAAGCTGGGAGAAATAGTTTTTTTACCAAAACATCTGAATTTTCACATCAGGACATTCAGTTTTATACTGATTACTTTGTGTGTGTGTATAAGATCTGGAATTGAGTTGGTTTATTTATATATCTATATAAAAATGTGTGGCCCCTATGGTTGCGAGGAACGACTTCCTCGTAGTGCTCTCCCCCTCGTTTTACACAGGTACATATCAGTGGCAGTTGTAGGATGTACCCCCCTCATGGTTTTAACTACAAGGAATTGCAGTGCAAGACTTTACCTTGTTTATATTTTTGACTGTTTTGCTGCTGATCATTTTAGTGACAATACCTGACTGGTGTGCTTATCCAGCACTGCTGGAGCTTAGAAAAGATTGCTGGTTTTGCAGTGTACCTTATTAATCCTGCAGCTGACTCCGTGGCTTCAGTAGGTCTCTGGAAAAAGGAATGCAGGCTGAAGCCAGTGAAAGGAGAGGACCTGTGGTGGAGAAGAGATGAAGGAAATAAAGATGCGAAGAAGATCCATGGCAGCTGCTGGCCAGGGATGCTTGTGAATGGCGTGCTCTACAGAACTTGCTCTCTCCAAGGGATTGCAGGGATCCTTTCTGCAAGCCCCTCGACTGCTGATAAAATGTTATGTTCATATAGTTTAATAAAAAGGAGCTGTAGGGGGAGCATGAAATTGTTTGCAGCTCCTAGAGGAACAAGGCACCTTTATGTGCAGCTGCTCAGGGAAGTTAGAAGGAGCTTTCAGAAATGGGGTGGGCTTTGTTTACACAGGAACCAAAGCCTTCGTTTGCAAATGCACATTTTTGCTTTTAGCTTAGTGTTTGTTTTGGTTTTGTTTTTTTTTTTTTTTTATGAACAGCTTCAAACCAATGACTTCTTGATTTATATTCCACTTCTGGAAAGTGGTGTGGAAATGTGACTAATGGTCATCTAGTTGGTTCCAGAAGCGTCAAGATTTTCATTTGCTAGCAGACTTTCAGAAGGGATACTACAGCTCTCAGTTGGTAGGCTCATTTTTAACTGAATTCAAAAGTTATGTTGTGGTCCGGCTGTAGAACTGATCAATTTGTGTGCGTCTGTCCAATTCCAGTTTTAAGTTTCCTAAAGAAAATCTACAGCACTGAAACTGTCTGTTTGGCTGAGAAGCCCTGTTTGCCATAGAAAGGCATCTTGCGAATGCAACTTTTCTTCTGGCAATCTGAACGGAGTCGCAGATCAATGAAATTGAACCCAGGTCTGCACATAGCTGAGCTCAACTCAAAGGGAAGCCCTCTCACATCGAGATTCTGGTTTGTGAACCAGCTGCCCCTGAATATGCCTTCGCAGCAGTCCTCAGAGCATTTCTTTTCCTTTCTACAGGCTTTGTGAAGTGCTGTGTATATTTAACAGTGCTCTATAAATTAAAAGGATTGACGTGCATTTATTTCTAAAATCTTTATGAACTTATTTAAAACTGTATGCCAAATCAAAGTGGCCTTAGGGTTCACAGCACATTGCCAGTGCACTTGTCTTTGCGGCTAGGATTGGATTGCTCACCAGTGTAAGCACATTTCTGGAGTTCCTTTCCACAGCCACTGTTAGTTTTCCCTGTTCAGTGTCACTTGGCTGAAATAATTCACTTCCCCTAGCCTGTCTGCCCTTTACTGTTTGTGATCATCTAGCTGGAGAGGAGAATCTGGGCACCACCCTTCCTTCACTGTTGTAGAAGTTACAGGGTATGTTCCTCTTCTTCCAGGGATTTAATCGCTGTGTGGGCAGCACAAACTCAAGAGCCAAATTCAGAAGTCAGAGGTATGGGCATGTGCAAAAAGTCAAGAACCAGAAGGTTTACTTTCACAGCAGCTAGCTCACAGGCTTCTATACCAGCTGTCTCCTCTCTCAGGCTCATAGTGGGAGACTACTGGAAAAAGCAAAAGGTAATTAGCTACTATCATTCCAGCAGACCATCCCTAGCACACTCTATCCCAGACCCGAGGTCACCAGCTGGTGCCCAGATCCTCCTGCCAGCTGAGGGAGCTCTGTAGAATACTGTAAATTCCTATTGTGCTAATGGTGCTTAGATACTACAGTGAGACTATGGCACTTTAGAAATACCTAAGATAGACAAATGGATGAATGACGTCTCTGAAATAAAAATTTTCACTTCAGTGATCTTTGTTATCCCATCTTTTTTTCTTTCTTTTTCCCCAGAGTGACCTCCTGAGCATCAGTTTCTTGGCCCCTGGCAGGACCAGGTTTGGAAATACATGTGTCATCCTTCAGAGAGGGATGACTATTACTTAGCACAGCTGCTGTGCAATGCAAGTAAGGTGAGGGATATTCTTAGAATTGGTCTTCATTTTCATCTAACATTTCTGCATGAATCTGAAAAGCCAGAGGATGGCACACAGTGCTCACCATTCCTTTACGAGAGAAAGTGGCAGAACCTTATTCTGCAGCGACACCATCCTGCTGTTAGGTGAACCTGGTTCTAGCAGAGCTGCAGCTGTTCTAAGGAGATTATCTCCCCAGTTCTGTCACCTGAGTTGTATGGGATCCAGTTTTCTAGTCCCCTGCTGACAAAGTATATGTAATAGTGATGACTGAAATACAACTTCTTTTACATTCCTCTTTGCTTCATTGTTTATGACCGGGAAAATGCATTTATTTTGATCTTGGACAAGAGGTGTGTTTTATGTGTTTAATAAAATTTTAGAAGTATTTAATGCGTAATCTCTAAAGCAATTTTTGAGATACATCAAACAAACAAAACTGCACGCACAGCAAACTGTGTTCTTTCTGGCCCTGTTTCCCCTTTACCCCAGCAACACTGGTCTGAATAGCCAGAGACACAACAGCGGGAGCCTCCATCTCTGAAAAAAAGAAAATACAGGATATTTGAGGAGATGGAGCAAACAGAGGCCAAAAGAGGCATCTACTTTGCTGCTTATGCCCTCATGTCCCAAGCTCTGAAGGGCCTTCAGCCTTTCCATGCCAGACCTGATACACCTCACAAGTAGGCTGATCCACCTCTCAACTGTCCCCTCCCTTTTCTCATTCAAGTGCTTGCTGGCTTTCTTAGTAGAAAATGCATGAATCCATCTGATAACACTGCTTTTGCAGTCTTGATGGACTTTGACAGCTGGCTGGTTTTCTTCTCACAAGCCTGCCCTGTTTGGGACACTCATTCACATGAACAGATGCGAGAGCCTAGGAACCAGAGAGCAAAGGAGCCAGACTTTTTAGGGGAAGCAAAATTTTCCTTTTTCTTCCCGAGGCTTGCTATGGAGGTATCTGTAGCTGCGGATAGCTGACTCTGTGCCTGGGGGACATGTTGGGATGGGTGGGACAGCATGGTCAGAGCACAGTAACCCTTCAAGGGTAAGTGAAAGCACACATCAATTAAAGCAGGCCATACCAGGTCCAAACATCCTCACAGATGGAGAGAGTGCGAAGATGTGCAGAGTCCTTTGTTCCCTTCCCTTTGGCCCTCTCTGTGCAAAGCACAGCTCCATTGGATGTAAAAGTCGGCGTTGCTTAGAAGAGACTTGTCTGAACAGCCATACGGACAGGCAGTTCAAAATAACTACCACATCACAGCAAACCTTGGCTGCAGAGCCTCGAGGAATTGACCAAAGTAACCTTCATCCAAAAAAGCAAAGCTACTCGCAGAACTCGCAACAGCTCTCGGGAGGCCAGGCCAAGT